GCTTCCCATTCCTTGGAGAAAATGGGCTGGACAAACTGCTCTCAAAAACCGAAAAGCTCTACCACCAATTGTTGAAAATCAATGGAGCCTCCTTCAGCTGTTCTTTGGCCCACAGACCGCTTTCTGAGGAGCTGTGGGGTTTGGAAGGAGTGCAGAGGCCTATTCCCCACCTAAGGCACATCAAAGTTTTATTCAAAACCTGCCTTTCTCCCTGTGAAACTAAGCAACTGCTCTTTCACACCCACATATTGCTGGAGAGCATTCAATTACCCTCCATGACTTTGTTTAAAATGAAAAGGCTTTGCCTCCTGAGGACAGTGAGAGAGGATTGATTAATGTTGTTCGTGAAGGACAGAAGTGTAAGTACACAGAAAGATCCAAAGTACTGGAAACTACCGCTGGGCCATATTTGACAAGCAATTCAAACCCACCTTCAAGGGGTTTTTTTTTTTTTGTAAAGAATAAGGACTTTTAAGGCAACTGGATACACCAAGGGGCATAGATGCCATTTTTTCCCTCTTCCTTTCCCATGATGATCGCAGAATTAGAAAACCAAGAGGAAGAGAGACGTGATGAAGAACGGCCAAATTTTGCCATATGGTTTTTCAGGAGAAGAGGAAACATTTTTTTTTTCTTTCTGACACGTTGTTCCAAGGGATCTGTGAGTAACAAACCAAGCCAGCACATTGCTGGGTTCTGTGGCTCTGTGACTCAGAAGTCACTTTTCTATCCAACATATTAAGTGTCAAGGAAAATACCTTCGATAAGAGAGAAGAGCTTCCTTCAGGAAGCTGGGCTCTTGTGTGAGTGCCTCTCCTGCACAAACGAGCTATAGGTTTTGCTGCTGTCCGTTAGGTGGATCGCCAACTGCCCAAGATTTCATAAAGAAGCATAAATCATGAGAAACGTATCTTAGTCCTCTATAAATGCTCCCCAAAAGTACTTTACCTATGTAATCATAGTAGATGTCTGTTTAAAGGAAAAAAGATCAGAGACACAGACAGAAAACAAAGAGAAGGGAAAGGAAGAAAAAGAATTACAGTGATACTTCGATGCATGTGTAATATGCAGAATTAGGAGACTGAACGCCCTGGTGGAATGTTTAAAGCCTCTGTGCAAAATACACAAAAGTGTATGGGTTTCAGGCTCGTCCTAACCCAAAAGGGCAGCATTTATGCATCATTATCAAGAGCCCTCAGTTCACAATGCTCTTAAATCAGAACCCCTGGTGTGAAAGGGGATTTATTATGGAGAGCTAACTCCTGCCTGGCTTGCTGAAAGAAGGGATGAAGTGAGCACCACACTTCCCTTCTTTATAACAATTGGTTTGTTAAGAGAAGCATAAGTCATGGTCAAGGTGGCAATGTAATCGCTGAGTTTTTGTTCCTCTAACAAAGAAAGCATGTTGACAAGAAACACTCGGCAAACCAATTATTTCATGCAGGTTTTCATCCATCCAGAAAGCCATCCTCAAAATAGATGGAACTTTTTCTCCTTCACTAACCAATCTGGTAGGTGCCTGTGGCAAGTACCCAAGAACATAAATAACACTGTTTGTTCTCAACAAACAAAAATTAAGTAAAGTAAGATCCAAGAAGTTCAACACATAACTTCCAAACTTTTTAACACCATAAATTATTTAACGGTGCATTCCGCTTCTATCTCAGCACATCTTGATGGTAGGCTAAGGCGGAACAGGATTTGTCCCCCAGGAATATAAGGGATATGAGCTCTGTTCCCAGAAGTGGGAGAACAGATCAGGTAACTGGTCTTTCCAGTTTTGAGGAACATTTTAATCCAACTTCTTTTTTTTTTTAATGGAAAATTGAAACAAATTCAAGACTCCCACTATCTAGGAATTTGGGAAAGTTAGAATGTATACCCTGAAAATAAGTAAATAAATAAATAACTAGCCAGGGAGAAGAAAATCCAGGGAGAATGTTTCCTTAGGAGGCTAAAAAGATATTATTTTTAAAATAGGAATAAATTCACTCCTTTCTTATATTTGTTAAACCAAAAACATTTAGAGTCATGCAGAATAGACAACGCAGATTCCTCTATGTGTTACACAAGAGTGTAAGCATTTTTCAGGAGTAAGCATTTACTAGCATCGCTTTAGGAAGCACAGTCCTTTCTGTCAAGAACAACTCTGGGAACAAAACGTCCCATCTGAAATGGATTACCAGGTCACCGCATGTGCAGAGCAGCTCACACATGGGGAATGCATTTCTGTTGTCATCTCAGCTTGGGGGAAGTTCCGCATGGAAGAAGGAATGATAACGGGAAGGTTGCCAGGCAGCATCCTTGAGCTGAGTGTTCAAGGATGGAAAGAAGAGAGGTTATAACAACATATCACATTTGGGGAAAGGCTGGGGCTGAAGACTTGAAACAGATTAGTGAAAATTAAAGCTGCCATCACTGTTTACAACACACCAAACTCTCTACCAGGGGTGAGGAACAGCTGGCCGGCAGGCCATATAACACCCACAAAATCATGTTGTCTGGCCCTGCCAAGGCATTAGGGGTGAGTTAATTAAGTGTTTGATCAAAATAGCAGGCGGTCCCAATTTTCAAGTTGATACTTTTATATGGCCCAAAAATGGTATTATAAATATCCAAATGTATTATGCTAAGCGAAATAAGCCAGTCAGAGAAAGGTAAGTATCATGTGATCTCACTCATAGGTGGACTCTAGTGAACAAAATAAACTGATGAACAAAATAGATCTAGAGACATAGAACCATGGAGCAGACTGGTGAATATTAGAGGGGAAGAGAGGATGGGGGTGGGGGGGGGGGGAGAGACTAACCAGGGAATTTATATGCATATACGCAAAGCCCATGGACACAGACAATAGAGAAGGCTTGGAAGAAGTTGTTGAGGGGAGGAGAAGGGTCAATGGGGAAAACAAATAAAGTTGTAATATTTTCAACAATAAAGATAAAATAAATAAATATCCAAATGGCCGTTGGCAGGAAAAAAGTTCCCCATACCTGCTTTATACAAATATTCCCTTTTGTTTTTTCTAACTTAATTTTAATAAAAACTGAGCCCCAGGGCTCAGACTCAACTTTCTCATCTTTGTTAGCTGCCCTCACTCCCTAGTTGCTCTCTACAGTCTCGTGGCTTTAGTGATACTGTGCGTTGATGACCCCACATGTCTTCAACCTGGACATGTCCTCCAACTACAGACCTGTATGTCCAACTGCCTGTCTGACATTTCCGCCTGGATGTCCAAAGGCTATCTCAAACTCAACATGTTTAAAACCAAACTCCTGACTTCTGCCCATTCCTTCCAAAACAGAAAGCCACCCCTCCCCACCTCCCTTCAGAACGTATCCAGCACCGACCACTTCTCCCGCCTGCGCTTCTACCACCTGCCTGCGCCGCCACCATCGCCAGCCTGGATCACTGCAGCCTCCCATGAACTTCCTCCCCAGTGAGCCTCTGAATCTGTGCATTCCAAACTCTCCCACGTGTAAGACAGGCTCCGGTTATAGACACTTTGTCTGAAGTAGAGACTAAGAGCGACTCGTGGACAGGTGACAACAGGTACAATGGAGCGGCTGTGACATGAAGAGTGCAGAGTGGGGTTGACGGTATCAAGGATGGGACATTTGAGAACATCCAGAGAGACAGAAGAGCCTGAACTCGTAAGAAATAGCAAGTCGTAGGTCAAATGTTCCCTCTCAGTTAGCCTTTCTTGACGCCACAGGTAGAGGTCGAGACCGCAATGACAGCATCGGTCACCTTACCGGAGGCCTGTGCTGAGCGTCTCCCCATCTAGACTTTGAACCCATTTGGTATCCCCAGCACCTGTCGCAACATCTGGGACCCGGTAAGCCCTTGGCAACGTGTGTTGGATGCATCACATGGTGCCAGGGAACTCGAATTAGGAACATGGAGAAGAGGCGCTTTGGAGATAGAAAGACCTATTTGAGTTTATCCAGGAAGATAACACTGATGGGAGTACAATGGTAGGGAAAAGCCAGAGGGTAAGGCTTGAAGAGGAAGTGGAAGAAATAGGGAGGGGGCGGGGGATGTTGATATGAAAAAATAGGTGAGAACTAGGAAGCCAAAGGAGATCAAAGGGAGAAGTTTTTCTCATTTCCCCAGAGGAGGGTGGTGAGGAAGGGGAAGAGGGATGCTTAAACGAAAAAAGAGAAAGCCAGGCTTACAAAGGGTGGGTATGAGCACCAGGCACGCTCATACCTGCAGTTCTCAGTCTTCTATTCCCAAGTACCAAGTACACTCCTGAGCTCCAACAGGTGCGTGGGAGGCCGGAGGCTTCCTAATCGGATGTTAAAACTGGGCCACCTGGTTAGGTGTGAGCCCAGGGGTTAATGAGGCAGGAACAGCAAGCCCGCGTTATTGCTTCGGTCCTCCAGGTTCAAGCGAACTCCGCATTAAGTGGTGCCAGGGGAGCTCAACTTCTCGCCCCCGCGCCAGCCAATTCAAGGGCGATTCTCTGCAGCAGTGTTTCCCAAACTTCTCTCATGATGAGAATCACCTAGTGGAGTTGTTATACTACAGATTCTTGAATCCCAACTAAGAAGTGCTAAACTAGAATTTTTGGGAACATATAGGTAACATTGTATACTTAACTAGTGCTCTAAGACAGTGGACCACCTTCACCGCGAGGAAGGTGGTGGGAAAGCCATTCACAGTGCACACAGACCCATTGTGCCCAGGCCTGGGGGAGAAAATTGGGGAAAGTACAGACAAAATCACCCCTCTCCTCCCCTCACCCAAACGTAGGTGAGAAGCCGGACTCCGTCCCTGGACGCCTGCAAACAGAGGCTGACAGTGCGCTCAGCCAGCTTCGCTGCAGGGAACGACGCCCCGGCGGGGCCGCCCCAACGAGGAGCGCGGGGTTCAGGCTTTCGGACGGTCCCAGGGCGCCGGCCGGCGCAGCCCGAGCGGAGGGCCCCGCAGCGCGGCGGAGAAGGTGGGGTGTGGGGCTGGGTTCGAGCCCCCAGACTGCACCGTTTGCAACTGACCTTCCGGCGGGGACGCGCGCGCGGGGCGCAGCAGCCGGTGTCCGGCGTCCCGCTCCCGCCGCCCCCGCGCGCCCGGCGGCCGCTGCGCACGTAGGTCACCTGCCTGCGGCCGGCGCCGCGCGGGGGCCCGGGCGCGGGCGGCGGGGGCGGCGCGGGCGGCCGGGGCGGGGCGCTGCGGGCCGGGGGCGGGGGGCCGGCGCGCCGCAGCTCCGCGCACAGCCGCAGGCCCAGCAGCAGCAGCGCGGCGCCCAGCAGGCAGCGGCTCAGGGCGCTGCGGCCCCTCCCGGGCGGCCTCTCCCGCGCCATGGCCCGGCCGAGCTCGGGGCTGTGTCCGCACCCGCCCGCCCGCAGCAGGGATGTGGCCCCGCGGCCCCGAGCTGCCAGCTGTGGGAACACCCCCGCCGGCCAGGGCGCGGGCTCGGACCCGCCTCCCTCCCTCGCGTCCAAGGAAGCCTCGGCGTAACCTTATCCATCCCAGCCCCAGCGCAATGCAACGGCCGCTGGAAGGGAAGGGCGAGGCGTGGAGAGATCGGGCGGGGGGCCTGGGATGCAGGCGGCTCGGCTAGGGCAAGACCCCGAGGAGCCCAGCCTCACCTCGGGGTCCCCCGGGGAGGGTCCCTCTGGCCCGGCCTCCGGAGCCTGGCGGAGCTGAAAGCTGTGGCCAGAGAAAGAGCATTCCTAACTGGAGGGACCCTGGGCCGCAGCTTCATGTTCTAGCATGAGGGTTGTTGCAGACACGCAGCAGGAGGCGAGGGGAGCTCCCAGGTTTTGTTATAAGGAGCACGTTCTCATTATCAAGCAGCGCGTGCCGCTGAGCACAGGATAAAGACGCATCGCACTGATGCCCGGGTTTACAAATGCTCTCCCTCCAGAGAGAAGAGGGAGGAGGAGGAAGAACACCCCTCTCTCAGTGCAGAATAATCAAATTAGAGTTATTCCATCTCTAAATTCTGCCTGAAGCTAACCCGTGCTTTCTCTCTGTGTTATGAAATGTGTGGGGGTGAAGGAGAAGAGGAAGGGGAAAAAGCAACCAAGATAACTGACAGCAGGGAGAGAGAACAGAAGATACTGGCACGATGTAGATCACATTAATTTAGCTCCGCACGCGCACACCTCCCTGCTGCCTTGCACAGATACAGGGGGACAAATTGATCTTGCAGCAAAAGGCTCCCCAGCTGGCATTTTCACCGCCACCTTGACCTTAATTAATCAGACCAAAGGCTCACAGCCTGGAGGCCAGTGTTGGCTGCTCTATTTGCAAATATTGGTAAAATTCTTCCCCACAAAATTCTTCCCTTTTGTGGTTTGGGTTTTAGGTGTAGGTTTGGGTTTGGGTTTGTTTTCTTCAGCTGTGGCCACATTTTTTTCATACTTTACGCTTGCATGTTTCATGTCTGTATGGAGACTACCCCTGCTGACTCATCCTCTCTCCCCTCAGGAGCCTACAGAAGGGACAACAGAGACACGGAGCCCCCTCTGCTACACCCCATTTGAATCTCCGGAATTTCTTTTTTTTTAAATTTTTTAATATATTTTATTGATTTTTTACAGAGAGGAGGAAGGGAGAGAGAGAGAGAGCTAGAAACGTCAATGAGAGAGAAACATCGACCATCTGCCTCCTGCACACCCCCCACTGGGGATATGCCCGCAACCCAGGTACATGCCCTTGACCGGAATCGAACCTGGGACCCTTCAGTCTGCAGACCAACGCTCTACCACTGAGCCAAACCGGTTTCGGCTCCGGAATTTCTTGTTGGGATCCCTCCCCTCTAAAACCCCCTGGTTTAAGAAAGACTCGGTGTATTCTTTGTCACTGTACAAAGCACGTGGGCTCTCTCTTCCATGTGATGGAACTTAACCCAATCTCGCTCATTCCCTGGGCTCACCAGGTCCTCAGGCTCCCGAGTGTTTGATTAGGACCAACTTCTGTTTTCCCTCAGATGCAGCCCTCCAGCTATTTCAGAGGCTCTGTTTTAAAGAATCCAAGCAAGTGCGTTTTTCCTGATACAAACTCCAAGAGAGAACTTCACATAAACAACAGGAGCCGAGATGTCAGATATGAACTGTGTGTTGGGTCAAGATCCTGTCTTTCAAAAGCTGTGAGACTTTGGACAAAGTACTTAATCCTTCTGAGCCTCAGTTTTTTTATGGACAAATAGACCTATATATCTGGTTTGGTTACAAAGATTGAATAGAATATTATATGTCTAGTCCACAGGTGGTATTCAATAGCAATTATTTTTATTATTTATCATTAAAGAAAAGCCTGGCCCTAGCTGGTTTGGCTCAGTGGATAGAGTGTTGGCCTGCAGACTGAAGGGTCCCAGGTTCAATTCCAGCCAAGGGCATATGCCAGGGTTGCATGCTCTGTCCCTAATGGAGTGTGCAGGAGGCAGCCCATCAATGATTCTCTCTCATCATTGATGTTTCTATCTCTCCCTCTCCCTCTCTGAAATAAATAAATATATATATATACTGTATTTTTCCGGTGTATAAGACGACCCCCTAATTTTACAGTTAAAACATAGGTTTAGGCCTATATTCGCTGTATAAGACTACCCCCCACTTACGAGGCAACACCAGTTCTTTATTTAATAGACCGCCTCTCTGACTCTGGCCAATCTGAGCAGGCTTTTTACTAGAACACAGTGTAGCTTCGGGTATAGAACATGTATAATTTGCATGCATAAAAAGCCTGCTTGGATTGGCTGAGTTAGAGAGGCGGTCTATTAAAAAAAGAACTTGTGTTGCCTCGGAAATGGGGGGTAGTCTTATACAGCGAATATAGGCCTAAACCTATGTTTTAACTGTAAAATTAGGGGGTCGTCTTATACGCCGGAAAATACGGTATATATAAAATCCTGGATGTCATCATGAAAAACAAAAGGTAAGCACTGATCCCAAGGTAGGTAAATATAAGAAAGCATACAGAGATTTGCACTCCTGGAATTAGGAGTACTCGACAATGCAAGAAACAGCCACGAACAAAGCTTCAGGATCCCACAAGTGCACTCTATTAGTTGTGTAATTGATGCTATTTAAGACACGATTTACATTGTGCTTGATAAACCTAGATCACCAATGTCTGGTGTAGACTTTGCTAGAAGTTTTATTTATGTGACCAACACAGTGTCACTAACTAAAGATGTAATCTTTTGAAGATTATGAAACCACTAATTTGTGCCCTCTGCTCATCTGCTGAATTACTCTTGAGAGAGGAAAAATGAGGAGTATCCTATATTATTAAAATGGGAATATTTAATAAGACTGGACTGGGGGGTGGAGAGGAGAGACACATAGAACAGTGTAGTTCTTGAAGAGGATTGGGGAAATGACCTCATATTTTCCCTTATCTCATGTCTCTGGTTCTCTAATGTTTCCATTGTAAAATCTAAATAAAATGCAAAGTTGAAATGCCCCTTTTCTTATCTTTTGCAACTGTTTCAAAGAATCCAAGCAAGTGCATGTGTTTATGTCTCCATGTGTTTATTACTAACTAAAAGGAACTGTTTATATGTGTATAGCACCATTAACTTTCTAGGAAGAAATCTCCTACTTTTAACTTCCACACAATATTTCCCTGTGTCATGGATGAAAATGAATAGTGAAATAGGCCAGTTGACAAGCGGGGGAGGCAAATCCATTCACTGTCATAGCTGAAAATCATTCATGACCTTTGTTTTTCTCATAGAGTTGAGCTTGTCTTGGTTGTTTCTGGATATATTTCAAAAATGCAGATAATCATTTACCACTGAGTCTTACATTGGTTCATTCAACGAGCATGTGGGTCAGTAAAACACAAAAGCAGCTTTCATTAGATCACAAATTACATCCTCCTTGAGGTTTGAGCTAACAAAATGAGTAAAACAGAACATTTTTTACTGCTAATCTCCTAGACCTCGTACATTTCCAATTTGCACACATGCTGTAGTGCCGTGTTCTCAAACTGGGTTAATTTTGCCTCTCAGGAACATTTGGCCAATTTCTGAAGACATTTCTGGTTGTTACAGCAGGAGATGATGGGGCGAGGATGCTACTGACATTTAAGGGATAGAGAAGAGGGATGCTGCCAAACATTCTCCAATACAAGCAATAGTTTTCCACAAAGAATTATCCAGCCCAAATGCCCTTAGAGCTGAAGTTGAGAAACCCTGATGTCACATAACATAGATGTTAATGTGGCAACTTTTCATTACAGACTGTGCAGAGAGAAAACAGGCTGACAGTCAAGGATCCTCACCTCACAATGTAGTTATTTCTGTTTTACAATGTGAAATACCTAGCCTGAATTAAAGTAATCAATTTTAAGAAGGAATAGAGCTAGAATTTCTGGCATCAATATCTTCCTCCACCCCACCTACCCCATCATCTTTTCTCCATGTAATACATGTTCATTGTGGAAAATATACACAAGCAAAAGAAGATATCAATAGTCATTCAGATGGAATGATTCAGAGATAGCTACCCTCTCAGACTTTTGTCTATGAATATATATTGTTTACAAAATGAGTTATACATATTTCTTTATAATGGCTAATAGCAATGTTATTATATAATTTACATATTAAATAATATGATGTCTGGAATTTGCTTAAAAACCATCCAGTAGGGATATGGGAGATAACTCAGGGTATAAGTGAAACTAGAATGGCTGAGTTTATAATTATTACTGCATAAGTTTCAAGTGTACACTGTTATAATTTGACATCTATAGATTCTATATCATGCTCACCATCAAAAGTCTAGTTGCCATCCATTACTATGCAATTGGCCCTCTTTACCCATTTTGCCCTCCTGCACTCCTCTCCCTTCTGGTAACCACCAATCTGTTGTCTGCCTCTGTGAGTTTATTTTGTTTGTTCATGTGAGATTTTTTTTAATCATACAACATTTGTCTTTCTCTGTCTGATTTATTTTGCTTAGCATAATACTCTCAAGGTTCATCCATATTGGCAAAAATGTCAAGATTTCATCTTTTTATAGCTAAATAGTATTGCATTGTGTATATGTACCATATCTTCTTTATCCATTCATCTGTTGATGGACACTTAGGTTGTTTCCATATTTTGGCTATTAAAAGTAATGCTGCAATGGACATAGAGGTGTAGATATCTTTTTAAATTAGTGTTTTCATATTCTTCAGATAAATACCCAGAAGTGGAATTGCTGGATCACATATTAGTTCTATTCTTAATTTTTTGAGTAATCTACATTCTGTTTTCATATTGACTATTCCAACTTATGCTCTCACCAGCAATATATGATGGTTCCCTTTTCTCTGCATCTTTTCAAATACAAGTTATTTC